ATTCCTGCTTGCAGCTCCTGCTGACAGTTGGTCTTAAATTCTTCATAGTTTCAGGCTTTTTTCATTTTCTGCATTTTTAACCCATTCACAGTTACCCTAAAACTTACTGTATCATTGATTATAGCAATCTAATACTATCCAGTCTATACCAGCAACACTTTTTTGAGAAGCAGCATCGAGTCCTGCAGAAGACAAGGCTGGCCTGACCATCTGTTCTGAGCTGAGCACTGACCTAGCTTTTCTGGTGTCCCAGATCTTTTTTCATTTTCTGCATTTTTAACCCATTCACAGTTACCCTAAAACTTACTGTATCATTGATTATAGCAATCTAATACTATCCAGTCTATACCAGCAACACTTTTTTGAGAAGCAGCATCGAGTCCTGCAGAAGACAAGGCTGGCCTGACCATCTGTTCTGAGCTGAGCACTGACCTAGCTTTTCTGGTGTCCCAGATATGTTCATGGAAGGCAGATATTGTTAGGAGAGCTGTCCACAGTAATAGCTTTGACACAACAAAGTTACAGTGCTCAGCCTCACTGCAGCTAGTCTTAGTTGAAATTTTTACTGAAAATCCTTGTTTCTTTATGTGATAGTCTAGCTTTATGAAAATCTACTGAAACATTGGTATTGATTCACAGTCAGGAGAAAGTGAAAAACAGCACATTCACAGCAACATAAGTGTATCTTGATTTCTACTTCTTTTACAGGTCTTAATCACAGAACATGGTGATCTGGGCAATGGCAGATTTTTAGACCCAAGAAACAAGCTTTCTTTTAAGTTTGATCATTTAAGGAAAGAAGCAAGTGACCCACAGCCTGAGGACACAGAATCAGCTTTAAAACAATGGAGAGATGCCTGTGACACTGCACTGAGAGCTTATGTGAAAGATCATTACCCCAATGGCTTCTGCACTGTTGAGTATCCATCTTGTTTCACTGGGAGTTCCTTGCCCTGTGCCAGTCAGTGCCTCGAGGGGACTTTGTGCTGGGTGGATTCTCCATCCTCACAAGCATTTTTGCTAACTTTAGAATGACAAGTTCCAAAGACAGGGCAAATATCTTGGTATGCACACAGTGGCAAAGCTGTATTAGACCTTGCTTTTCATAGTCATGACTGCCAAGCACCTCAAGATCTGCAGTTAATAAACAGGAGGCATTATGTGCACATGGAGGTGTTGCACAGTGGAATTAGTGCTGCATGTTCCCAGTGAGGTGCCATGACAGCAAACCTCCACAGTGCTGCCAAGAACAGAAATTAAGAATGGCTTTCCTCAGATCTTGGGCCTTTTTAACTCTCTTTCTAAATACAGGTTTATGGTAAATCTATAGATGGGCAGCAAACAATTATTGCCTGTATTGAGAGCCACCAGTTCCAGCCCAAAAACTTCTGGTAAGGCTATGTCCACATAATATGTTTTCTTCCTTTTCTAGTCCTCAACCAACCCATCCTCTGTTTTCTGACACACTCTGAAGGGCATGTAGCCTTGGGATTCCCATTTCCTTGGCACTTCCCTAAGCCCAGTGACCCATCCCGAGAGGGGGCATTTGCAGAGCTCAGTGAGACCCTGAACATCCTCAGAGCACCACACACTGGAGCTCGTTGGTGCTGAAGCTGCACTGTCCTCAGTTGTGCTTCTGAAATGTAATTCAATGCCATGTAGGGCACTGTAATAGTGGCCATCAAACAACAGGAGAAACAACTTGCTCTTGTTAATTTGGTTCTTTTTGTGGTTAGGGCTTTTTGGAAATACAGTTTCCATGCTTTGATTGTTTTTAGGAATGGTCGTTGGAGATCAGAGTGGAAGTTTACCATCACACCACCAACAGCTCAAGTGGCTGCAGTGCTCAAGATCCAGGTGAGTTAACTTTTTCTGGCAGTAACAGGAGAGGCTGCATGGTGCTTCTCTTACAACTAATGCATTCAACTAAGAATGAGGTGCTGAAATACAGCTGAGATGCCCTTCTCAAGTCAAGATTATATTAAACTATACAATTAAATTATTTTTAAAAACTAGTGTTTTGGGTATCATCTACAGTGTGCCCTGTGGTTCCTTATATAGCATTACCCTATATGCCTCCAAGTCTGCTTCACTTTATAGGGCTAAAACCTAAACCATGAATTCTTTTATAATTGCTCTTATTTCAACTCTAGGCGTTTACTGCATTAACATAATCTTGAACAGTCTTGACAAAGAATGAAACCTTTTAGAAAATCCATCCTGCTTTTAGTCTCCACGTAAGCAGAGAAGACTGGCACATCTGTGCTGTTGTAGCATTTGGGGCTCTAGGGATTGTAAAATGAGAGTTAAGGATAACCTGCTTTTTTTCTCTCTTTATCCAGGTTCATTATTATGAAGATGGCAATGTTCAACTGGTTAGTCATAAGGATATCCAGGACTCTGTACAGGTTTCTGTAAGTATGCTGCAAGATCTCTTTTTATGATAAACATCTCCTGAAGCACACACTTCTATGACTACATTCTCTTGACTTTGAAGTGATCCACTTTTAGTGTGACTAGTCACTGAAGTCCCATGGGAAACCCAAATTCTCACTTGTTTGAAGTTAGACTATTGGAAAGTACAGTCTCTGTTGGAAAGCTTATCTTGGGAGTTTCAGCTTAAGAGGGCAGAATGTGCTTTCTGTCTGCAGGCAAGGGAAACAAACAGCAAGAGCAGTGTCCTAAGGAAAATAAGTCTTGATAAACAATAAATAAGAGTTGAGGGAGCAAATCACAAAACCCCAGTCCATCCCGTGAAGGTCTGTCTGCCTCCCTTTGCTCACTAGGGTGCAGCCCTGTTCCAGTTTGGAGCACAGCTCTGGCCAGCACAAACCTCACATTGCAGGGGGTGAAAGGAACCCAGCTACAAACAGAGGCAGAAGCTGCTGATGTTATCCACTTCATCTATACTTAGCTTATCATTTGAGAGGAAATTTATTGTGTGGCCTTGTAATTTGTTCTTAAACATATAAAAATGTATTTTTCCCCTTTGTAGAGTGATGTCCAGACAGCTAAGGAATTTATTAAGATAATAGAAAATGCAGAAAATGAGTATCAGGTAAGATCAGTGGGTTTTAAATAAATGTGATGGAATTATATCAGTCTCTGTTTAATAGAAACACTGAAAATTGACCTAATTCTGCTTCTGACTGAGTCTGGTATTGACTGTAAGAATTACTTAGAAAAGGGCAGTAATATGTGTTTAAAGAAAGCAGTTGTAGAGTTCTGTGTCATTAATAGTAGAGTTTGCTGTATAGTTATTCTGAAGGGTTACAAGTGGTGCCTGGAACAAGCACAGAAGGGGAGTAGGTGAATCTAAACGTTTTCCTCTGTGACAGTTAAAAATACCACAGAGGAAATGCATGTGAGAGCTCTTTACATGGTCCCAGCCTGTGTGCAAGGGCCTCCACAGAGACCAGTGAAACACCTAAGGGGGCACAACTTCTTTCACAGGGGAGTTGAACAGAAGCCCCTGTAGTTACACCCAGGCTGGTGGTAGAGTTCCTAGGGAGCCTTTGCCCTGCAGAGAGGGGTGTGTGGCTATAGCACCGAGTTGTGTCTTCTCAGAGGATCTCACTGCTGTGACTGACCTGCTTGCCCCTGCAGACAGCCATCAGTGAGAACTACCAGACCATGTCAGACACCACCTTCAAGGCCCTGCGCCGGCAGCTCCCGGTCACCCGCACCAAGATCGACTGGAACAAAATCCTCAGCTACAAGATTGGCAAGGAGATGCAGAATGCTTAATGGGAATGAGGAAATGGGTTAAATGTTTGTGTGCAAAACAAATGTCGTCCTATGCCAAGTAGATGGTTTCTAAACCAGTGCAGCATTTTTTAGGGCTTTCAAAGTTAACAGGTTTTCTAGCCTCAGAGAATGGTGGAACAAATAGGCTTGTCTTTGTGTTTCCTGCTACATAAACTTCCTGTTGTGGTTGCATTTACTGCTAGGTCATTTTTATTAAGCCACATTCATGGTTCAGAAATATAGCTGTTTTCAATCACCAGTAGTACTGGTTGGAAAACTTCCTAGCTGGAAAAGCCCTATAACAAATACAGCTGAGGGTGCAGAGCATTCCCTTCACCCCTGTACAGCACTCCAGGTACTCCAGTAAGTCTGTCAGATCTGCCAACAGCTCAAGGCTCTTATGCTGCAAGATGTCATTAATGCAAAAGACAGCAAGTCCTCCTGTATCCTCTCTACTGACCTCCACAAAGCAAAAAGCCCGAAGGCTACGGTTTTACTATATGAAATGAGTTTACAAATCCTTTACAGAAATCCCTACATAGCCAGATCTTCCAGGGACGTAATTTTTTTTTTAAATCTGAAGATTTGAGCCATGTTCCCCAAAAGTGAACATTTTTGCTCTCCCCTCCCTTGTGTATGTGCGGTTACCAGGCATCTGCATTTTTACAGAACTACAAGTTCCCATCACTGCTGATCCATGTAGGCTGGATGGTAATTAAAAATGCAAATGTCTACAAAATAATAGGTATGTTGTGCTTTAATGCTTTGTGGCAGGTTCATAGAATTTGTATCACAGGTGTATGGATGGTGTACAAAATAAATAAACTTGCACCAAAGTGAGAGAAAAGTTTCCATTTTGTCTCAATTGTGGCCAGTTTCTTGTGAAACTTAGAGATTTTGAAATTAATCTCTTCATTGCTCTCTGAACTCTTGCTCTATGTTACTTTGTTCTTCTGTAAGATCACCAATAGCAGCCCTAGCAGTTTCTCTTACAGGGAGGTTGGAGGGGCACACGTGTGCCTGTCTCAGAACATGGATTCACTGCACAATGAAACCCCTTTGGTGAGCTCCCTTTGCTTTGTTTGCACTTGATTATCCCTGGGCCTTCTCACAGGTTGTGTTTTTTTAACTGGCTAGTGTCTTCCTGTTTTTAAATACACAAAGAATGGGGCTGGGAAGGTAGGGGTGGGACTGCCTGTGCATGACACAAAAGAAGTGTCTGTCCTTTGTGAGAAGTTTTGTCTAAATAAAATGTTTGTATTTGCTGTTGAGACTGACCATCCTACAGGCATCCTCTGTATCAAATACTCTAGTAGAAATACACTGGCCTTTCTTTTAAAGCCATTGTGTCTGTTCTTTCATGGTCTCACTGTGTTAGTTCCAGAGGAAGGCAGGTTACAGGTAACAGCCTACAGGCAGGGGAGGGCATTGCTTGCAAATCCATAGGCTGTGCTCCCACCCTCGTACACACACCAGGGACATGGAGGTCTAAGAACTTCCAAATTAAAAGAAAAGCAGTTACACAGCCCTAATGAGGCACATCACACAGACAAGGATGTTCCACTCATCACCTGTGCCTTGCTGTACCACCTTCCTCCCCTGGTCTGCTCAGCTGGTGGAGCACTGAGCTGGTGGGTTTGTCCTGCACCAGCTGCCCCCACAGCAGGACCCTCCCCTGGAGGGCTGAGCTGCTCAAGGACAGCGCTGTTTCCAGCGGGTGTTTGTAGAAAGGGTTTCCTCCCTGCCCGTGGCACAGAGATGAAGGGTACTTGGTCAAGCACCTAGGGTGCTGTGGCCTGTGGCCCTGAGCCCATCCAGACAAGGCCTGCAGCAATTCCAAGAATGTGAAGCCGAGCGGGCCGAGATAAGGCTGTGCAAACAACAGGGCTTTATCTGCCTCAAGGCTAGGCTTTTGCTCCACCACTTGTTCCTGCCTTAGGACAGTTTCTATCTCTTTGTCCTTCTCTGAATCTTCAGCTAATCTTTCAGGCTCTCATTCCCTGCCTCCTGGCCCTTTTCCCCCACCATCCTCTACAGCAGGCTCAGCTATCCAAGTCCTAGCCCTTTCCAGCTCCTATTTCTTCGTTGTAAAACCAATCTTTGGCGTGACACCCCCGCTGGGGCACCAAACAAGAGCCAGCCCAGCAGTGACACATGCCCAGAGGCATTTGAATTTTTAAAGCCACCAGGATTTTTTTTGCTGAAAACCAGAAGCATCAGCAGACTGCAGCCAGCTCCAGAGCAAAGTATATCCTGGCCTGGCTCTGTTGAAGAGTACAGAAGTCAATGCCTGCCCCAGACAGGGCAGCAGGACTGTGCCAGGGCAGGCAAAGCCAGCCCAGTGCTGTAGGATGGGTCTGCCCAGCCCAGACAGCAGCTGGGCTACCCAGCTGCACCACCCCCCAGGAAGAGTCCTCCGATCTGCTTGCAAGATCAAACTTTAAAGCTCTGGGATTCTGCCTGCAACACATGACCAAAACTTGCAGACAACTTTTCCTAAGGCAACACCCCCAGTTTTCAAACCCCAGACCTCACCCTCAACCTGTGTGGGGCCCTACACCATGACAGTCCATCAGCCATCTTCAGACACTAGCAAGTCACAAGCAGAGCCTGGGTCAGAGGAAATAAACACCTGAGCTAAGGTGGGGAGACCAGCAGACTTACCCCAACATCCTCAGGCCACAGGAAAGGCATAAGCAGCACTGGGACCAGTCCCAGGGTCTCGAGCTGTTGTACAGAGCCAGTCCAGGATCACCCCCCTTCCCTGGGGAGGTTGGAGGGTGAGGTTGCAGGAAACAAGGGACAAATATACAACAGCTCTTGCTGCTGCTGCTGCTCTATTTACGGAGCAGCCCTGGGAGCTCCTGCCCTCATCATTGGGTACAGTGATGCAGCACACCTGGGCACCTCCTGCCCTTCCAGCGCGGGGTGGCAGCCCCGGGCCCCCAGGGCAGGTCCTGCGGGGCTGCAGGCTCGGGCAGGACAACGAGCCCAGACCTTTGAAGCCCGACAGCCCGACAGCCCCTGCCCTGCAGCCACAGCCGCTCCGGGGACGCGTCTGTCACTGCCGGGGGGGGCCCGCCGAGGGG